AGCTCCTGCCAAGTGTTGGCTGCTGTCCTTTGTGATATTCTCTGAGCATCTCCTGTGACTTGCAATTCGATGGCTCCGTATAAGATGCTATGTTGTCTAACATCTCGGGTTGGATACAGGTGTAGGATGTAATCTATCCTTTTAATGAAGGCGTTTAGTTGATCCGTTGATCCGTCAAAGCTTGGCACCTGTCTAAGTTGTGAAAGGGCCTGGTTGAGGTGTTGTTCTGATAATTCCATTGTCATCTTGGTGTAATACACTTTTTTTTGAATAGTTTTGAGTTTGTAGGTTTGAACTTTATTGTTCTTTGATTTTGCACTTTTATTTTAGGTTAAAGTTTGTGATGGATTATTGGTTAAATGTTTTTTTTTTTTTGTGTGTGTGTCTTAAAAAGACTCAGTAATAACGTATTGCAGGGATCAAACGATATGCAAAGCCAGTCGTTATTAACTGTAGTAGCTTTATTGCCCAAAGGGTCAATATTATTAAGCTACTAGTGACCCGAAGGTTCTTGTGCGGATACGTATTCGAGAAAATTTTTATTACACTCCGACAACACTTTCGGTCGCGATTGTGCGTTAGATCTGGGAATTAATTATCCTTTAGCGATCTTTAATTTTTCCCGACGTATCCTACCGGCTGCGCCAATTAAGTTTTGCACGTTAGGTTACTATAAAAAAATATATTTCAATTTATTATTTTCACTTAACGGCTACTTTTGTTGAGTACATTCAGATTTGCTTCCCGAATATGAACTGATTTATCTAACTGTTGCGGTCGCTTAGCAAACTTCGCTTTGAGAGAGTTTGAGTCAAAATTGAGTGAAGTTTGAGCTGCGTCAGCAATTATGCGTGGGATAGTACTCTGATGGGAACATTGACAGTGGCGTGATATTTAGGGTGAATTGTTTATGTCTACCAAAGGGGGACAGTTTGATCTTGACCAATGTCGATGTTATCACCAGGCTCTTTGTTTACAATATTAGAAATGTTTATAGTTGTGCTTATGCTTATGTGCTAAGTTATGTTAAAGGGTGGGTGCGACTATGGATATGTCACTATATATATATATATCTATATATCTATTTAGTTACTTTTCGGCCCCTAATTAACTTATTTGTCCTGCCCATAACCATTTAATCAATTTAAATAAATTTATTTAAAATTTGTGATTTTATATTTTTAAAATTTTATATTTTTAACAATCTCTGGTAGATATTTCAGCATAACACTCATATGTTTCAGAATACATATTTGATTTAAAATAAATAGCAGAGCTTCTTTCGCTTGGAACACGTTTAAGTATGGCGAACAAAGAAGAATTAAAAATAAATGTTTCTTAAAGATCTAACGGGGGAAAAACTAAAACATGAGCGAGAAAGACAAAGATACAAAGGCAAGAGAACGAAAGAGAGAAACAGAAAAACAGAGAGCGGGAGTGAGAGAGAGGGAGTTAGAGAGAGATAAAGAGGGATGGAAAGAGGCGAGGAAAGAAATAAAGAGACAGATAAAGATAGAGACGGAGAGATAGAAAGAGAAAATGAGAAAAAAAGAGAGAGGGAGGGAGTGGGATAGAGAGATTAGAAAAGACGCACACAGCAAGCCAAAAGATGAGGAAAATATTATTTCAATAACTAAACTTCAATAACTAAATTTCAAAAACTAAAAATTAACTATTAAAATTAAACATTTTAAGGCTGTTATTTTAAAAATTAATAATCGTTATTTTTAGTATATTAAAAAAAGAGTATTTGTAATCCGAGTTAAACAAATATATGATATAAACTGAAAAAGGACTGACATTCTCTTTACTGACTTACAGATTATGGAAAAAGTGCATCGCTTTGTCAGAGTCCTTGTATTAAATGCCGCTGAGGTTATGGATATATTGGCGCGTTATAATTAATTGAATTAAAATGATGACACAGCAAATCGCATTTGTCGATTGTTAAATTTCAGCCGCCGCGTAATTATCGAACATAATAGAAAATGCGTTTTTCCGCCCATTTCCTGAATTTCGCAGTAACAACATTTTCCGCCCGCTTCAATCTAATTGAAATTATGCAATTTGCGGTCAACCAATTGAGCAGCCAATGGACAACATGACTACAACAACAACAACAACAACAACAATGGTAACAACAACAGCAACAACAAGAGCAAATCCTTTACGCGTGCATAAATAATTTTTAATTGATTTCCGATGATTTTGATGGCAGTTAATGAAATCAAAGAGACAGACAGCGAGAGATAGAGAGAGAGGGAGACAGCAGTTGAATTAATTATGTTTTATTTTAAATCAAATTATCATAAAATAGATCAAGGCGCTTGTGTTTGTCGCCAGAGGGCAGGGGAATGTTGCGTCATCAGCATGAGAACATAAAAAACGAATAAATAAATTTTAGATTTATTTGCTGAAATACACATAATCGCGCACAGTTATGCATAGATTTGTGTATTTATATATTTATGCTTGTTTTTTGTTAGAAACGAAACGGAACGGAACAGAACAGAACACACACAGAATGCCCCACGACGACGACCCATAAAGATCCACAAAGAATAACATTTCTGACAGCCAACAAGACAAACAGCATAAAACAACAGGCAACTAAAGCGAGGGATGCTGCCAGACTATAATATACCCTGTAAGCAAAGCGGAAATATGTTTGCAGATAAATATATATATATATATATATATATTGAAACAAAATACATCACATCTGCCGAACCAAAATCTTCAGTTAATATCGGCTCGTGAACAAGAAGAGTAAGCTTGTTAATAATAATAATATAATATATTAAATATAGCACCGAATTCAACTACTTTTATATAGTTTCTCTCTAGCCAACCCCTGTGTTTACATACCCACACACAGAGCACAATATGCCCTGCTTCAACACATACTTTACAGGGCATAGGAACGACAGCATATTTAGAAAGTTTATGACCAAACACACATATTCTGTCCGTATTGCATATATATCTGTGTGTATATTCGCTGTATATTTACTTAAAACTTTAAATAACATTAATTATGCGCTAAGCCTTTCAAAACTGACAAATTTTTGACGTTGCACTGGATTAAGTCACATTTAGCAGACGGACACGAGACATTCGACAAGTGGCAAACGAATTTTTAATTAACTCACGACCACACACCTTACATGCTATATAGTTGTTGGTGTGTGGGTGTGTACTATGAAAATGTGGAGCACACATGGCTCTAGAAATTGGACTTGCTGTAAACTAAACTAAATATTTGGCCGATAATATATCGACATTTTATAATAAAACTTAATCAATTATTTTCATGCTTATATCTACACGTTTCTAATTAATTTAAATTTATTTTCTTATTTTAAATTTATTTAATCAAGCAATTAGCTGCCTTTTGAGATGGCGAAATGTATTAAATTAAGTACATTATAAATTATAATTTAGTTCCCAAACAGTTTGATTTTTGCCTTCTAAAAGCACGCATAATTATAAACAAAATAAATCAGATTAAAAGCTAAGCTCTTGTCTCAGGGCTTATTTTGCCAAATTTGTGTGGCAAGCTGTGGTGAGAATGATGGCACGACCAGGAGATACCCTACGCTCAGCGGCGAACATTCTTGCTTAAATTTGGCTATTATAGGCCGGCCTTTATGAAATTTTCACCATAAATATTACCGCGATCAATGACAGAAAAATTCAAATAAAACAGTTTTAGGGCTTAGTTGATTAAGAATATAGTGAAACACTTTTGTTCTACTTTACTTAAGTTTTCTTAATTTATATTCTAAATCCAGCGTAAGTTACAATAAGACCTACAAACAAGCCTGTCTCTAACTCTTAAGGGCTACGAGCTAAGCCTTAAGACAGGTTATCTTTATCGATTCCTAATCGATTTTATGGAATTATCAATTATATGAAGGATATTTTTTATTTTTGAAGCATACATTAAAAAGTTTAAAATAGCTTGTTCTTACAATCTCTGAGAACGGACATATTGAGAATCAAACGGGCAGGCAGATATGGGACAAGGAATATGGCTACATCGACTCGGCTCCTGATTAAGAAAATATATATATTTTGTGGAGACAAGCATAGAAGGCGCCATTGGCGTTTGTCCACGATAAAGCCTGAGAGCCCAACAAAACTAATTTATATATTTGTCTGCCACTTTTAATGGGGTGTCTAGCACCTCAAAGTACACATTTCGCGCAAATTTCACATGGCAAATAAATTAAAATGGCAAACAGAATTTATCCAACAGCTCAGTGGCAAACCGCATTTCGCTCAACTTGCATAAATAGTTTTCATTATGAATTTAGTTTTTGCCATCGGGTTCATTGCTCATCTTTCGCTCAGGAATGGACCTACACTGATGCCACAGCTTCTGGGGCGCCTTGACATTGTCGGGGCGGCACTTTTCGTGCGAGTAAACAAACACTTCATATACTGCTCAGCCTCATTAAGTCAGTCAAAAGTGGGGGCACTCAGCACATGACATTAAACAAGCTAACCTACAAATGCCCCCAAACACCCGCCTGCCAGACAGCCTAGCAGCTCTTTGTATTGGTCTGTCAAATGATGTAGTTTCTTCTTTTTTGCCAGTGGCGCATAAAACTTAAAGAAAGTTTTTACTGTGCCTAGGCATGGGCTAGAGAAGGTCGCGTGTCGTTAATCTTTCTCACGATGCGAAGAAAACTAAACCATAAATTGATGAAAACTAAAGAAGCCTACACAATCGTATGACGCAATGCAACACAGCAACTTGGCATTGTAGAACCCTAAATGAATTTTTATAGCACTTAACAGCCTAACAGAATAATATAAAAGGCTTTGAGATCCTTTGCTGCCCTTCAAGGGACTTACTCAGCAGTTTACAACACTGCACGCTACTTTATAAGAAGAAAAATATCGATATATATCGATAGATTAAAGGTTCTCTATCAAGTGGGAACACATTTTTGGAGTTATGTGTCTTCGTGTCACGCGTGAAAATCTAGGCATACATTTCGACCATCGCCAGCTCAGACACAATATTTCATTCGCAACAGACATGTGTATTGTGCGTGTGTGCGTGCACCCCAAATTTAGCGTGTCTAATGAGCAATTCAAAAGTTTGCATTTTCATTTTCGTTTTCCCTTTTAAGTTTTCGTTTTTCCGCGCACTTTCCACGCATCGTGTTGTTGTCATCTTGAACAGACCCTCGTTCGCCTACTAGACGCCCAGTTGACAGCTTGAGAGCTAAATTTTCCAACGCTGCGCGCTACTTGGGATCATCTCGGTCAGAGCTAATAGGCCTCCGACTCAGATGCGAAAATAGTTTTCCAACCCACAGCACCCACTCCCTGCCCTGCCTTGCCTCCTGCTAGCATCTCGAGTGTCTGAGTGAGTGATTCACGTCAACTAAGGCATGATTCTATGGAACTAAATGAGTTGTCGTTTTTATTTTCATGAGTGGGCGTCCGGGCGTCTGCTTGGTCGGGGAAGTAGGCGGGCGGTGGTATGGTGTCGTGGTGCACGGAAGCGACTCTTGTACGCTCTTGGCAATGCTTGAAATGTGCTTGTGGCACAGTGAAAACTCGTCCAGTTGGCTAAAAGCTTAAGTAATTAAAGAGCTGCAGGCAATCGTGAGCTACAACAGAAGCAGTCACAGCAGAAAATGTGGCGGGATGGGCGGTCAAAGGGTTCAGGAAAGTACATCTAATAAATTAAATTTTGGTAGCATGTTCGTGTAGCGAATGCAAAAGCTAAAAAAATAAAAATTAAAAAAATTGTATAACAATAAATAATTAAATTTAACAAATGAAAAGTGTTAACATTCGCAACAAGTTTAAGCCTTGATATAAGCTGGCAAGTCATGCAAAGATTTTTCAAATTATATTCACATTTTGAATTGAAAACATTTTATATGTTATAAACTTTTTGTACCAACTGGGAGTTCAATATCATTTATTGTCAGAGTCTTCACTGTACTTTAATAAAGCACAACGTCTGCGCTAAAATTTTACTTGGCGAATTTAATATTAAATATTTGAGTGTCACTTCTTGCCCCTTCTAGCCCCAGAACGATTCGAAAATATTTGTGCTTAATCTGTAGCTGGAGCTACTTATTAAATATTTGTGATTTTTCGTAGCTGCTTAATTTATTTTTCCAGCCAACAGAAAGATGTTGTAGATGAACAAGAACTGCAAACAAATTTAATGACACATTTTTTTTTTTTGCTGAAATATGCAATAAGAAATCAGCACAAGGCGCTTGCTTAGAAATTAATCGCCATACCCTGGGATTAAAAAAACATTGTGATTGGTTATGCTTGAACTATCCAAAACTATGTAACAGACGGATCATTTTCTGGTTATTAAGGTCTAATTAAAGAGAATTGCCATAAAATAAAAGTTTAGCAGCTAAATCTATTTCTAGGGTATCTGATAAGGTATCTCTTTTAGAGCTCCATTTGCTGTTTTGTATTTACAGCTGCCTATTCAACAAGCTATTTCCAAATTTAATACACAGGTTATTTGAAAGTCGGGCATGCTCACAGAGCTTAAGTCTTGGTTACAGGACTTCCACAAACCTTACGAACATACCGTTCAGATTAATTTCCAGGGTATTTACCTACCAAGCATAACAACTTCCTGTGTTCACATTTTCGCATTTTGCTGCATCAAATATTAATATACTGGGTAACTCACAGCCGTGCACTTTCTTTTCTCATATATTCCATTTTCTTAAAATTTTTTTGAATTTTATTTTTAGATAGCGACTGCTGTAAGAGTTGTTGGCGGCAGGAGAGGGCTAAGATGCCGTGCAATGGATTATAGGAAATTTCTTGGAATTATGTGGGGCGGCTAAATGGAGCGCAGAGCTGGAGCTGGAGAGGGAGATTTCTCGAGACTAGAGAGTCGAGACTGCCGCGACTTTTTGTGCTGGCAGCCAGTTACCTGGCGCATGTTTCGTGCCGCAGTTGCCTTTGCCTGTCAGCGGCAATTTTTAGCATTTTAATTGCCCTGGCAGGCTAATTGCCAGAGCTTCTGTACAAGTTGCCCATCTGCCCTGGAACACTACTATAAGTTGGATAGCCCCTTGCTGGTAACTGTAACTGTATTGATATTCCGTTCCGAACATTTTTTGGCTAAAAATAAAACGTTCGCAACTGCCAGTGACAAGTGGGGCAGAAATGAGAGCTGCCACAGTTGCTCCACAAAGGCGGCTGTCATTTCGTTTATTGTTGTTGACTTTTTGCAGCGAACAAAAAAAAAAAATTAGGACAAGCCAAGTCGGGAGTGTACGACTAGAAGATATATACATAAAAAAATACCAGCATACATACACATAATGACTGGAAAACACATTCTTCCTTATTTTCGGTGGTTTGAGTCCGATCTTCATTTCCAGATCGATATTCATCGATCACATTCTATATATGACTTAGTGTAATATACATTTTAACTGTATATCTATCTACATCTTATAATACTTAAGTAATGCTTAAAAAACGAAATCTCCAAACGATATATATAGATATTATAGAAATTGGAAATCTACCTATGACATATGGGGTCATATGACATATACATAGGTTGGTTCGTCTTCTAGATATTAAAAAAGAAAATAAGTCAGAAAATCGATATTTATCGATCAAATGAAAATTGACGTTCACCGTAGCGAAATATACATTACAACTCGACAGCTTTTGTAGCTGCCCAGATTGACGCGATCACAAGACATAGATGTTGTCGACTCGTCGCCGTAATCGGGCATACATACACTTAATGGGGTCGTTACATGCATTTACAGCAAAACTTTATACCCTTTTTACACAATTACACCGCGTGCAGGGTATAAACAGAAATGATATTTTGTGCAGCAGCGTTAAGCGCCTCGTGTGCGCACAGAGTCACGTTTGGGGCATCAGGCACAGGCGGTGCCACATTTTGTGCCCAGCTACAAAGTTCGCAGCACGCAGCAAATGATTTGGCCAAAAACTATTTATTGAAAATTATGGTGTAATGTGCAGTCAGCCAGCTCTCTGGGTCTCTGGCTCCCCCAGTAATGCTTTTGATATGGGTTCTCGCTTATCGCCAGCTCTAAGCCAGTTCCAGTGTTGCGAAAACTGTTGCAGAAAATGTCAACTGAATTCATAAAAAGGAAAATGCTTTCAATTGGCTGTTGTAGCTATTGAAAAGTGCGTGAAAACTGTTGTTGCTCCGCCAATCCCCACAATCCCTCCAATCTCTCCAATCCCTCCACTCCCTTCTCTACCCAACCCAAGTTCTCCCACATAGTGTACTCTTATCGATTGTTAGCTTCTGGCACCCGCCCTCATTTTGGTCAGGTTCAAAAATAAATATATTTGTGTGTCACATGCTTTGGTCATTTGAAATGAAATTGGTTTAACTGGAAACTCATTAGCGGGCAGTTTTTACACAGCCAATTTTCTTATTGTTTATCTAAAAATAAAAGGCAATTCATTAAATATGCATTTAGGGAAATTTCTCAAGAAACTCAAGGTAGCGGAAAACATAACTTACAGCTTAGAAATAATTAAAACTTAATTGGATTTTGCACAATATAAATATAAACAAAATCTTTGCAATTAATTCAAATTTAGAAGCCATGTTTTTGCCATCGAGCGAAGTACTTTTTGAAAAACTTAAATAAATATTTATGTATATTAAATTCTAAGCATAATTATAGCAGCTATCCAAAGGGTTTTTGTGTTCTTCAGCTTAAATATGATAAAAAGCTGCATAAGAATTTATGCTTTCGGTTCTTACGACATGCATTAGTAGCATATTTTAAATTAGTAAAAATGATCTATGCGACAAGTTAATACCCTGATCTAAGCGTCAACTGTCAGATTCAAACATTCCAGCCTTCTCCCAATGAAAGTGCATTTGTACCCAGAATTTTATAGGGATCGGAGTCTAAACACCGAAGTTAATTAAGGCGTTCTTCCAATCCCAATCCAATAAAAGTTGTTGCATACCGAATCGCAAGCTTTTTTCCGCCAAGAATGTATTTTTACAATTTGAACAGCAAATAGTGAAATATTTTAAAAGAGAATATATTTTACAAATCTCAAGTCTCTAGCATTTGCGGTTCACAGAAAATGTATATAATATTATTTGATTTAGGTTTGGATTTGGTTTTTCTTTGTTCTTTTACAGCACGGTTTAAGTTTGGCTTGATTATAAAAATAAAGTTCCATGTTTTTGCCGCCTTGAATAACATCGTAAACGTTTAAATAATAAGCACTGTTGACACATTTAATTATATGGACTAGCAAAAAGTGGACAAATTCACTCGCACGAATAAGAAATTAACCCTCTCGAGGCAAGAAACTCCCACATGTCTAGTTTTAATTACCTTATGAAGAGTTCCACATAAATTGTTAAACCCCTAACAAATACCTGAATCTGCCCACAAATTAAGTTCTCAATGTCAGCCATTGCGTGCTACATGAGTCATGCGGCACGTGGCATGAGGCAAGCATACACGAGTGGAATTGTTTGTTTTAATTGCTTCCTTTTGGTTTGCCTGTTGTTGACAAATGTGCATTTAATTTATGCAGTTCCTTTTGCCCTGCTTGAGGACTTAAAACGTTTGCCAACATTGAAAGCGATTCCACTGAGGGGCCACGCCCACCAGCCCAGAGTCAAAGCCCCAATCAAAGCGAAGGCGCGGCGCCTTGAAATTCAATATTTTGACAGCTTGTGAAATTTGAAGCTAAAAATTTTTGCTTTATTACAAATTTCTCGTCCGCCTTACAGCGAACGCGCCGAAACTTTTCGTTGGTCATAATGGGATGACAGAGGCGGAAGTTGAGGGGCGCCGTTTGTCGCACACATTGGGTCAAGTTGTCAACGCCACAGTTGCCACGTTTCTTTTAAGCCACCCGGTGGCAACCACCCAGCTGGCAACTTGTCGCCGCTTTATTAACTGTCAATCTGAGCTTGTTTTTACTTCCATTTTCCTGGGGCTCATACATTGCTCTTTTATAGGTTAGACACGGAGTACAAAAGCCAATGCTGCATAGTTTGTGACATTTGAAAAGAAGTTAGGGTATCTAATAGGAAACGAAGCAAAGGCAAATATTTTGCTTATCTTATTTCTGGAAAGCTTGTGTTGCAAAGTTCCAGGAAAGATAAAAAGAAAGGAAAATTATATATAATATTAATATGGAAAAGTATGTCTGATAAACGGAAGAAATAAATTCCTAAGAATAAATTCCCAAGAATGCAATAATTTGGTAAACAAACAGAAACGTTTTTTTATGTATTATTTAAGTTTAAAGATAAATACTTAAATAATGAAAGGGTATTCATATAGCGACTTGAGACCTCTGTCAAATTATGTCAAGGTTTTTTCCTAGTATTTGGCAGCTACTTAAATTGTTTTGCCTGATGCTGTTTAATTTTATATATGACAAGACACGCACCTAGCTGGCTCCTGGCATGTTTACCCCGCCTGTAAACTGTTGTCTCCTGTTGCGCCTCACAGAACATGTAATTTAATATAGTATATGTTGTCATGTTTTGCAAAAACAAGAAAAACGTATTTGAAAATAAGTTTGAAGGTGGTGTTCTATGGCATATGGCAATACCCTAACAAAGTGCACATACTTTCAGCCTTTGTGTAAAATTTGATTGAGGCGGGCCGTGGCAGGGGCAACGGGAGCCTGCATAACATTTGTGCCATTAACCCAGTTGGACCCAGCCCCAGAGTTGGTTGATGCAACATCAAAGCGACAATTCTGATGGTGCTCAAATGCGTTGAGTGCGAATACGAGTGCGGCACTCTGGGAGTCCGCAGGGCACACCCAAGCTCAAGCCCCCAAACTCATCCAACACAGAGGCTCACGGCATTGGCCCTGCGCAAACAATGGACGTGCATATTGAAGTGCATGACACAATTGCGGACAGCAAAATAAAAGATGACAAAATATAGAAAAAACTAAATAAATACAAATACAAATACAATAACATGCATGCACACAGAGTGAA